TGTTGAAACTGGTCAGTGGCTGATTCCAGGAAGCTGGGGGCAGAGCAATTCTGCCTCCAGCTTCCTGTAGTCAGCCCCTGGTCAGTTTCAGCAGCAGCGGCTGAATCTGGAGCCAGTTCCGACTTACATACAAATTCAACTTAAGAACAAACCTATAGTCCCTATCTTGTACGTAACCTGGGGACTGCCTGTAGTTCTCTTCCTTATTTGTCCTTTGATCTGTTGCCTTTTTCTCCTCACCACTTGTACAAGATCTTTCCTTTGCCACTCAGACTTCTGTATTGTAAAGTAAAACTAACCCAAGTCATACTGTGGGCTGTAGCCCTAACTCTGCACAAAGGGACAGCATCTGGGTTCTTTCACACTCTGCTTCGCTCCTTTGGCTCTGGAGCAGATTTCATTTCCCTTTGCTGTCCACTCAGCAGAGAACACACAAGACGAGTGTGGCAAGTTCAGATCTAGTAGACTGGAGCTGAGCTGTACAGCTAGATGAGAAATGTAGCATGTGAGTAACTAACTACAAAACTAATATTTGAATTAAGACAATTTTTAACCCTTCCATGACATAACTGGAACTAAAAGTTTCCCAAGTGGATCAGCTTCTGGAATGTTACTGATAACGCAACAGTGCGCCATTGTTCATGTCTCCTTTCCTCTCTGTCTCGCTGTAGTTTTTTATTTCTTCCTTCATTTCACTAAACATGATTTGAACCCTGCTCCCCCTGCTCTTTGCTTTCTCTCATTTAAATTTTCTCTCAATTCTCTATTTTTACTGCTTTCTCCGTTAGCGCATTTTCTACTGCCCTTTTTCCTTGATGGTTTTCCTCTTACTGTAGCCCAGATACAGCAAAGCACTCAACCATGAGTTTACATTCCAGTGAAGTCATCGAATCTTAATGCAAAGTACTTTCCTGAATTGCAACCTGAAATCTCTCTAATTTGTTCTTCACTTCAGTCTTTCATTGTAGCTTCCCCACTCAGCCTTATCTTCAATGCAGAGTTAGCCCCGATGAGTAGAGTCCTGCAAATCTGCAGATATCCATGGCTCATTTTTGCAGATGCAGATACAAATTTTGAATCTCTACAAGGCTCTACAGTTGAGTAGAATCTAGGTCATCCTACCCTAACTGTGCACAGCCACTGCGCTGAGCCAAACCCAAATTACTGTCTCCTCACTGGTGCTGCACTTAACCATGTGTGTGACTCACTACTATGACTTGTGGGGGCACATCCCAGAGTTTTGTGCTGCAGTAGGCGGAGCTGTTCTATGAATAATTCTTAGTTAATTGGTGCAAGCAGAGGGAATTTTGGAAAGCACTTGAGTTCTATTAGCACTTGAGTGATTTAGCTTGTATCTCCAGGACAGGTTATTAGCCAGAGTGATCTGAGCTTTACAGTATATCCCCCAGTTCTGTGTTCTTGGGGAACCAGAGCATAGCCACCCTGCAGGTTCCCCCCTCCCCTTATGTTTCAGGGGTCAGTTTTGTCCTCCCCACACGTTTTTTTTTAATTCAAATTCCACCCAGGGTAATGATGCTCATCCTGGCTACCTATTATCATTTTGTAGTTTTCATGGTGCCTTTTGACCAACCAGGCTAGTTTTGGCCAGTTTTCCTGGACCTGAGCATAACACCAACCATCCATTTGTATGCATGGATGGGAAGAGGCTGAAAGGTAAAAGCTGAGTAAGAGCCCGAGTTAACTATGCCACAAAGACATAGCATCAGAATTGCTGATGCTTTCTGTCCTTGATAGTTTCTCTCTAGTCTTTTTTGCAGATCTCTTCTATCCACCATATTGAAGGCTCCTCATACATTGGGCTCTTTAACATCTCATCACACACCATCTATGTTCTTTTTCCTAGGATTCCTCTTAGTATTCCATTTACAGCCTTCCCTGACTGCCCTCCCAAATCTGATCCCCATTAACTCTTGTAGTAGGAAAGCTAGACTGAGAGCCATTGAACAAATACCACACCTAGTAATTAGATTTCCTGAGATATTGAAAGTCTTTCCCATTCTATGTAGAGCCAATACAGCTTTCAAATATAGGTGTACAGGCAGTCCCCGGGTTACGTACAAGATAGGGACTGTAGGTTTGTTCTTAAGTTGAATCTGTATGTAAGTCGGAACTGGCGTCCAGATTCAGTCGCTGCTGAAACTGATCAGTTTCAACAGCGGCTGAATCTGGACGCCAGTTCTGACTTACATACAGATTCAACTTAAGAAACCCAGGCGTC